CCCCGGGAGCCAGCACACAGCCCCCGCCCCTGCCAGCGCCCCCCACAGGAGCAGCAGGCCCTCTGCAGCCAGTCGGCCCCCAGGAAGGTGCCTGTGGAAACCCAGGGCCAGGTGGGCAGCACAGCATCTCCAGCGTGGTGCAGCCACAGGCCTTGGAGCACGCAGTCCCCTCTGTGGTGGGAGCTCCCAGGGCAGGCTGGCAGCACGGCCCCCACGTTATGGACACCCGGGAATTGCTGGTCGTTCTCCGACACTGCCAAAGGCCCTGGTCCCAGCAGCAGGCAGACGCCCCTCGCGAGTTCCCCGCCCCTCCGCCATTCCAAGCCAGGGCTGTGTGGCGGGCGAGGCATGTGTGTGACACGCGGCTCCATGTGCCCCCAGGAGCTGGCGAGGCTTCTCCACAAGGCTCTGGAGGCTGCGCAGCAGGAGAAGAGAGTGTCCAGCACCTACCTGGCTGCTGCAGAAGATAAGGTGAGGCACATCGTGGAGCTCAGCAGCCGGCTGGAGGCGCTGGAGGCGGAGAAGAAGGAGCTGGGGCACAGCCTGGCTCTGAGGGACAGCTGTGGGGAGGAGCTGCAGAGCCACGTGCAGCTTCTTATGGACAAGAACCAGGCCAAGCAGCAGGTCGTCCTGAAGCTCTCGGAGCAGATAGCCCTGGGTCTGCTTGCGCCGGTGCAGGAGGCCAGTGCTGTTGCCACGGAGACCTGGTGCAAGCAGCAGGAGGAGATTGAGCATCTGAAGGTGCGGAGGCGGGCGCAGCCGTGTCAGCAGCAGACGGGATCTCAGTATCTGCGGGAGCTGGCTGGGAGGGGCGTGTGCTTTGCTGGCCCAAGCTCGGGCAGTTTGCACGGGCGGGGCCGGCTCCGGCCTGCGCGTTCAGGGTTTGTCTAATTCAAGCAATGGGGAAGTGGCAGTCAGGGCACCATTTCAGATTTTGGTAGGGGCTGGGATCGGGATGGGGGGCGGGAGAAGAGCGAGAGCGTGGGAGGGCAGACTGAGGACAGCGGCTTCAGCAGTTACTGAGCATGCTCAGTGCAAGTGGGGGGGGCTGACCCTGCCCACCCTCCCCCCACACACTTGACACCTCTTTCCCGGACTCCTAAGGCTCTGGGAAACTCTAGGTTTTTGGCAGATAACTTAGCAATTAGCTGGCAGGAGCACTGGATCTAATTCCTATATGAGAGAGAAACTTAAGTCAGTTTTAGACCCGCTCGTCTCTAATGCTGACATTTCTGATAGCTTGTGGCAAGTCACTTAAGAGACACTGGTCAGCCTTAAAATCGTACTCTGTCTATTTTAGAAAATGCATTTGTGTGTTCAAGAGCTCCTCCTAAACGGTAGGAGCTAGGGTCCCCACGCTGGGCAGGCAGCTCCCTCTTATCATCACTTAAAGCAAGAGCAGGCTTTTTGTTGTGCCAGTACAATGGGATGTGCCTGGAATTGGATTGTGTCTCATAAACTGGAACGGGAGGGATCAGGTAGGAGGGAGTGCTACCGTAGAATGGCCAGAGATGGGGGCCGGGACCAGCGGGGGTGAGAAAGGGACAGCTGTCTACTATGTATTTCAGAAAGCTTGTGTGTCTATTTGTTTTGTCTGTCTGTCTGTCCCCCAGCCGGGGAACATGCACCCCTCCCCTGGCTGTGCCCACCCCAGCCATGACCAGGCACTTCTCACCTGCCCCCAGCTCCTGCAGTGCGAGAAGGCGGAGGTTGTCCTCTCCCTAGGGCAGCCAGGTACTGACCCCCTCCTCCCCACCCCCACCCGAGAGCAATGAGTTCAGTGAAGAAACACAAAACTGCTTTGAGTTCAGGGCCCGAGTGGCACTGGCGAAATCTAGTTTGGAATTGTGATCCTGTGGCGACGGGCAGAACTTGTGGACTGTCTCCGCTCTGGGAGGGCCAGTGGGTGACAGCAGGGGCAGATACATCTGGGCTCTTTATAAGAAGAGCAGAGCAGCCAGACGGGGTCAGACCAACGGTCCATCCAGCCCGGTGTCCCGTCTGCCCAGAGCGGCCAAGGCCAGGTGCCCCAGAGGGAGGAACACAGCAGGGAATCAGCAAGTGATCTATTTCCTGTCGCCCATCTGGCAAAGAGACATTGGGGACACCAGCCCTGCCCATGCTGGCTGACAGTCACTGGTGGACCTGTTCTCCTTGAGCTTATTCTGTTCTTATTGGAACGCTGTTACGGGTTAGGCCTTGCCACCCTCTCCTGACAGAGCTCCACAGGTTGACACTGAAGAAATAATTTGTCTTGTTTGGTTTAAATCCGCTGCCTATAAATGTCGTGAGCTTCTTGTGTTATGCTAGTGAAGGAAGAAACAACCTTTACTTACTCTAGTTTTCCAAGATTTCCTAGCACTCTGACATAGCCCTCCATCCCTTACTCATTTCTTCTCCAAGCTGAACAGTCCCAGACTTGCGAATCTCTCCTCGTATCAAAACAAGTGATCCTGTAGCATTTTACAGACTAACAAAACTAGACAGACTCATGAGAGTTGATGGGTAAAACCCCACGTCCTCGGGTGAATTGGAGTCGTGTGTTATATCCAGTGTCTCCTCATATGTTAGCTGTTCCTTACCCCGTCTCATTTCCGTGGCTGGTCTCTGGGCTTTTTCCAAATCCAGTGTAATGTTTAGCTGGGGTGACCAGACCTGCACGCAGTGCTCAAGGCATGGGCGTACCATGCTTTTCTATAGAGGCAAGATGATATTTTCTGTCTCATTCTCTGTCCCGTTAGCTTTGTAGATTGCCACGGCACATTGAGCAGATGTTGTCAGGGAACTATCCATAATAATTCCAAGATGGCTTTCTTGAGTGGTCACGGCTATTTCAGACCCCATCATGTTTGTGCGTGTAGTTGGGTTTGTATTTTTCCACGTGCGTTACTTTGCAGTTATCAGCGCTGAATTCTGCCTCTCCTTGTGTTGCCCAGTCACCCAGGTTTGTAGCAGTGAGTTTTGGGCTTAACTATTTTCAGTAATTTTGTATCCTCTGCAGATTTTGCCACCTCCCTGTTTACCCCTTTCTATGAGAAGTTTAACAGCGGTGGTCCAAATGCGGCTCCCTAGAGCACCCCACTATTTACTCCTGTCTTTTCAGTGGAGTACCCAGCAGTGTTTTCATGAGGAATCACAAGCCTTTTGTTACCTCCCCATTTCTAAACAAGCTCCCTGCCCCCAAGGCAAAGCTGCAAGCAGCTCAAACTCTGTGGCAGTTAAGAACTGCCTCCGGAGCTAGGGCATGTTCTTAAAGCAGACCTCAAGTATGAGATCCAGGGGTGCAGACTTTAGGGGGAGTTATTGGCCTCCCTAGCCCCCCAATACATGGCACCCTGGATGGCAGCCTAGAGCTTGTTTTGCCTGACTCAGCTGAGTCATCCTCCATCCAGCCCCGAGCTCTTCCTCTAGGACTGCCTTGATTCAGCCTACCTCTGCGTGAACAACGTTTCTCCTCGCAGCCTGGCTCAGCAGGCAGGTCCCAGCTCCCTCTGTGCGGTTCTAAGGGCCGAGACGCACTGCAGCCAACAGGGGCCTTTTGTTGCCTGTGTTGACAGGGTGTTTGCTGGTGCCTAGAATGTTTCAGGCCTGAGTTTTTAGAAGTGAACAAACCCCAGATCTGGCTGCTGCCTGTCGTCTTGCAGCTTTCCCCAAGCGTTATGCTTGTTACAGGGCAGAGTTAAGGTGGTTTGGGGGCCCTGACTCTGCATTCCAGAACTGAGCGTGTGTGGTTTTCTTTTTAGTTTCGCTTTAAGTTTATGTTGCTGGGACTCTGAGGCTTTTGGGCGCCCACTCTGTGATGTATTTTACCTTGAATTATGGAGCCATCCTCATACTGGTGTGCCTGCTCTGCTATTGACAGGATGACTTAATTGCCTTCAGAACTCAGAACCAGTTCCTCAACTCGGAGATCCACCAGGTCACGGAGCTCTGGAGACGCGCTGCTGAGAGGGAGAAGGCCCTGCGGATGCAGGTGAGCTGTGGAGAGCAGTGGCAACTAGTCCCTGGTTTAGTTACTGGAACCGGTGCAGGGGTTTCCTTTCCTCCCGGGCCCTGGTCCCGATGCACAGTAATCGACGAGAGTCGTCTTGTCTCCGGTGGACTCCCCTCGCCCCTTCCCCAGCACGGGCTCCCTGCTCACCGCCCCGCGCAGCAGACAAGCAGACGCTGAGTTCTGTTCGGGCGCAGCGTTAGTAGAGCTGGGGCCTTGCAGAGTTAAAGTTTGGCTCCCCTACGAATTGCAGCTCCAGGCCAGACACAACGTAGCGTCTGGTGGGGCGCTGGGGTGCGCGGAGGCAAAGGCCCAGTCCAAGCTCCATCTGCTCCAACAGCCTGTTGCCAACAAGGCCGGTGCGAGGACGATGCTTCACGGAAGCTCAGCTGCCCACAGGGAAAGGCCCCTTCAGCCCCCAGGAGTAAGAGAACACAAGAGCGGCCAGGCGGGGTCAGACCCAAGGCCCATCCGGCCCAGGGTCCTGTCGGGTGCCCCAGGGGGAGTGAACAGAACCGGGAATCCTCCCGGGATCCCGCCCCAGTCGCCCCTTCCCAGCCCCTGGCAGACAGAGACCAGGGACACCCTCCCGGCCCAGCCTGGCTAAGGGCCATCGCTGGCCCTGCCTCCATGAACCTACCTAGCTCCTGAACCCGTTACTCTTGGGCCTCCACGGCCTCCTGCGCCCGGCGCTCCAGGCTGGGGGTCGTGTCCCTTCCGGCGCACTGGTGTGTGGCTGAGCCACTGCGGTCGTAGCTCTGGACGCCCACTAGCCACCGAGACACCTGGCCCTTCCCGCAGCCTGCTGAGCCTGTGGCCTCGGCGCCAGTGGCGTAGTGATCACCCCTCTTCCTCCCTCCCCCTCCCCCTTCTCTTCCTCCCTCCCCCCCCTCCCGCCCCTCGCACACACTCCCCTGTGGCATCCTGCTTTGCCACGCACCAGCGCCCAGCTCACCAGCCCTCGCCTGCCCCGGCTGAACTGCAGGGAACTACAGCCAGCGCCCGGGTTGCTCTCCCTGCCACTCCCCCACTGCAGTGGCCTTGCTGTGGCTGCTCCCCCGCCAGCGTGCTCCGTGGCGCACCACTGACTCAGGGGCCCCCTGGGCGGGGATTCCAGGGCAAGGGCAGGCAACGTGGCTGCTGGCCAGGTCGGGGCTGTCGGTCCTGTGCATCCGCAGCACAGCCCTGCTGACGGCCCCTCGCTCTCTCCCAGTGCACGCGGCTGCAAGCCCACGGCTGCCAGGTGGAGAGCAAGTACCTGATGGCGCTGCGCAGGCTGCAGGAGGCCTCCCCCGGCCTGGCCAGCGGGCACGCGGAGCTGGTGAAGAGCCTGGTCCAGGAGGCGCTGCAGTGGGATGCAGAGGAGGGCGCGGCAGAGGCTCTTCAGCTGAACCCTGTCAGGTGAGGGGCCAGCCACTGCTCCCGTAGGGCGCCGCTCCGGGCAGGGTGAGTGCAGAGGGGCCCCGGCTCCGAGCAGGCCCGCGGTGGCTCCTGCCAGGTGTGCGGAGGTGGCCTGGCTGGCTGTTCAGTGCAAAAGGTCCGTGGTCTCTGGGGGCGGGTGGCAGGACGGGCAGCGAGTGACGGGCGACAGGCCAAGTGGGCAGGTCTGGGTTGGGGAGCGGGACAAGCTATTTCCCATGGCGGGTGGGGAAGCCCTGGGCTGGTTCCCTGGGGCCGGGGGCAATCTCCAGCCCTGGAGGTGTGCAAGTCCCGGCTTGACCAAGCCCTGGCTGGGCTGCTTGCGTTGGGGCTGGCCTGGCCTGTCTCCGGGGTCTCTGGATCTGCACATCTCCCACGGCCCGGTTTCCGGCAGGGCTGGCCGCTCAGGGCTACAGATGCTGGAGTGGGAGGATGCATCCCAAACCCAAAGCACTCCCCGTCCACTGCGATGTAGCCGGGCTGTGCGGTTAACCCAGTGGGCCCCAGCGTGGTGCCCGCCGAGTGACCAGGGCTGGCCCGAGCCATTCCTGCACCCTGGGCACCCGGCAGCCCCAAAGGGTGGGGACCACTGGGTTAGCCGGACAGGGGCTGTCAGAAATGCTGTTCTCTGAGCTCACCTCACCACCAAGGTTGCTCCCCTGCCCCTGCCCACCTTGGGGAGCGCTGCCGAGCCAGGTGCTTCTCCGCCTTCCCAGCGGGCTGCACTGCGCAGGCTCCCAGCATCTCACCCGGTTAGTGGTGGAAAGGGGGCTGGACGCAGATATGCAGCAGGGCACAGAAGCTGTCACTGTGTCCTTCGGGGCCCAGCCCTCGGGCGACTGCCATTCCAGGCCCGTGGGAAGTAGGGATGTAAAACAGCAGGGGATTAGTCCACTACTCATAACCCTGGGATTCCCGGGTAGTCGAGTCAACCACTCCCACTTCCCCCTGCCCCACTGCCTCTGTATCGGAGAGGGGAGCAGGTGCCTGTGCTGGGAGGAGGGCGCGGGGAGGCCGTAGCGCTGCGGTTCTGCCTTTTACGTGTAGCAAGAGCCGGGACTTCCCCGCGCCGCGGCTCTGTGGTTCAACGTGGGGGGAGCCGGGCCGTCCGGACCTCCCCGCACCGCGGCTCTGCGGTTAAACGTGGCGGGAGCCGGGCCGTCCAGACCTCCCCGCACCGCGGCTCTGCGGTTAAACGTGGCGGGAGCCGGGCCGTCCAGACCTCCCCGCACCGCGGCTCTGCGGTTAAACGTGGCGGGAGCCGGGCCGTCCAGACCTCCCCGCACCGCGGCTCTGCGGTTAAACGTGGCGGGAGCCGGGCCGTCCAGACCTCCCCGCACCGCGGCTCTGCGGTTAAACGTGGCGGGAGCCGGGCCGTCCAGACCTCCCCGCACCGCGGCTCTGCGGTTAAACGTGGCGGGAGCCGGGCCGTCCAGACCTCCCCGCACCGCGGCTCTGCGGTTAAACGTGGCGGGAGCCGGGCCGTCCAGACCTCCCCGCACCGCGGCTCTGCGGTTAAACGTGGCGGGAGCCGGGCCGTCCAGACCTCCCCGCACCGCGGCTCTGCGGTTAAACGTGGCGGGAGCCGGGCCGTCCAGACCTCCCCGCACCGCGGCTCTGCGGTTAAACGTGGCGGGAGCCGGGCCGTCCAGACCTCCCCGCACCGCGGCTCTGCGGTTAAACGTGGCGGGAGCCGGGCCGTCCAGACCTCCCCGCACCGCGGCTCTGCGGTTAAACGTGGCGGGAGCCGGGCCGTCCAGACCTCCCCGCACCGCGGCTCTGCGGTTAAACGTGGCGGGAGCCGGGCCGTCCAGACCTCCCCGCACCGCGGCTCTGCGGTTAAACGTGGCGGGAGCCGGGCCGTCCAGACCTCCCCGCACCGCGGCTCTGCGGTTAAACGTGGGGGGAGCCGGGCCGTCCAGACCTCCCCGCACCGCGGCTCTGCGGTTAAACGTGGCGGGAGCCGGGCCGTCCGGACCTCCCGGCGTTGGGCTCTGCGGTTAAACGTGGCGGGAGCCGGGCCGTCCGGACCTCCCGGCGTTGGGCTCTGCGGTTAAACGTGGCGGGAGCCGGGCCGTCCGGACCTCCCGGCGTTGGGCTCTGCGGTTAAACGTGGCGGGAGCCGGGCCGTCCGGACCTCCCGGCGTTGGGCTCTGCGGTTAAACGTGGCGGGAGCCGGGCCGTCCGGACCTCCCGGCGTTGGGCTCTGCGGTTAAACGTGGCGGGAGCCGGGCCGTCCGGACCTCCCGGCGTTGGGCTCTGCGGTTAAACGTGGCGGGAGCCGGGCCGTCCGGACCTCCCGGCGTTGGGCTCTGCGGTTAAACGTGGCGGGAGCCGGGCCGTCCGGACCTCCCGGCGTTGGGCTCTGCGGTTAAACGTGGCGGGAGCCGGGCCGTCCGGACCTCCCGGCGTTGGGCTCTGCGGTTAAACGTGGCGGGAGCCGGGCCGTCCGGACCTCCCGGCGTTGGGCTCTGCGGTTAAACGTGGCGGGAGCCGGGCCGTCCGGACCTCCCGGCGTTGGGCTCTGCGGTTAAACGTGGCGGGAGCCGGGCCGTCCGGACCTCCCGGCGTTGGGCTCTGCGGTTAAACGTGGCGGGAGCCGGGCCGTCCGGACCTCCCGGCGTTGGGCTCTGCGGTTAAACGTGGCGGGAGCCGGGCCGTCCGGACCTCCCGGCGTTGGGCTCTGCGGTTAAACGTGGCGGGAGCCGGGCCGTCCGGACCTCCCGGCGTTGGGCTCTGCGGTTAAACGTGGCGGGAGCCGGGCCGTCCGGACCTCCCGGCGTTGGGCTCTGCGGTTAAACGTGGCGGGAGCCGGGCCGTCCGGACCTCCCGGCGTTGGGCTCTGCGGTTAAACGTGGCGGGAGCCGGGCCGTCCGGACCTCCCGGCGTTGGGCTCTGCGGTTAAACGTGGCGGGAGCCGGGCCGTCCGGACCTCCCGGCGTTGGGCTCTGCGGTTAAACGTGGCGGGAGCCGGGCCGTCCGGACCTCCCGGCGTTGGGCTCTGCGGTTAAACGTGGCGGGAGCCGGGCCGTCCGGACCTCCCGGCGTTGGGCTCTGCGGTTAAACGTGGCGGGAGCCGGGCCGTCCGGACCTCCCGGCGTTGGGCTCTGCGGTTAAACGTGGCGGGAGCCGGGCCGTCCGGACCTCCCGGCGTTGGGCTCTGCGGTTAAACGTGGCGGGAGCCGGGCCGTCCGGACCTCCCGGCGCTGGGCTCTGTGGTTAAACGTGGGGGTAGCCGGGCCGTCCGGACCTCCCAGCGCTGGGCTCTGTGGTTCAATGTGGCAGGAGCCGGGCCGTCCCGACCTCCCGGCGCTGGGCTCTGTGGTTCAATGTGGCAGGAGCCGGGCCGTCCCGACCTCCCGGCGCTGGGCTCTGTGGTTCAATGTGGCAGGAGCCGGGCCGTCCCGACCTCCCGGCGCTGGGCTCTGTGGTTCAATGTGGCAGGAGCCGGGCCGTCCCGACCTCCCGGCGCTGGGCTCTGTGGTTCAATGTGGCAGGAGCCGGGCCGTCCCGACCTCCCGGCGCTGGGCTCTGTGGTTCAATGTGGCAGGAGCCGGGCCGTCCCGACCTCCCGGCGCTGGGCTCTGTGGTTCAATGTGGCAGGAGCCGGGCCGTCCCGACCTCCCGGCGCTGGGCTCTGTGGTTCAATGTGGCAGGAGCCGGGCCGTCCCGACCTCCCGGCGCTGGGCTCTGTGGTTCAATGTGGCAGGAGCCGGGCCGTCCCGACCTCCCGGCGCTGGGCTCTGTGGTTCAATGTGGCAGGAGCCGGGCCGTCCCGACCTCCCGGCGCTGGGCTCTGTGGTTCAATGTGGCAGGAGCCGGGCCGTCCCGACCTCCCGGCGCTGGGCTCTGTGGTTCAATGTGGCAGGAGCCGGGCCGTCCCGACCTCCCGGCGCTGGGCTCTGTGGTTCAATGTGGCAGGAGCCGGGCCGTCCCGACCTCCCGGCGCTGGGCTCTGTGGTTCAATGTGGCAGGAGCCGGGCCGTCCCGACCTCCCGGCGCTGGGCTCTGTGGTTCAATGTGGCAGGAGCCGGGCCGTCCCGACCTCCCGGCGCTGGGCTCTGTGGTTCAATGTGGCAGGAGCCGGGCCGTCCCGACCTCCCGGCGCTGGGCTCTGTGGTTCAATGTGGCAGGAGCCGGGCCGTCCCGACCTCCCGGCGCTGGGCTCTGTGGTTCAATGTGGCAGGAGCCGGGCCGTCCCGACCTCCCGGCGCTGGGCTCTGTGGTTCAATGTGGCAGGAGCCGGGCCGTCCCGACCTCCCGGCGCTGGGCTCTGTGGTTCAATGTGGCAGGAGCCGGGCCGTCCCGACCTCCCGGCGCTGGGCTCTGTGGTTCAATGTGGCAGGAGCCGGGCCGTCCCGACCTCCCGGCGCTGGGCTCTGTGGTTCAATGTGGCAGGAGCCGGGCCGTCCCGACCTCCCGGCGCTGGGCTCTGTGGTTCAATGTGGCAGGAGCCGGGCCGTCCCGACCTCCCGGCGCTGGGCTCTGTGGTTCAATGTGGCAGGAGCCGGGTTGCCTGCATGCCTGGCTTCTACTCCATTTAACTTGCAGAACCGCAGCGGCCCCTTAACAACTAATTCACAAGTTGTGTCGAGTCCACGATTAGTCGTTTACTTGCATCCTGAACGTGAAGCAGCAGTTGAGCTGAGAGCGGCCGCTCCTGGACTCCCTGCCCAGCTCTCCAAGCCCGTCTCCAGGTGGAACGAGGGGCAGCGTCTGACCAGCCGGGGTGCTGCTGCAGGGGCAGCTCCTAGAATCACGGGGCTGGTTTTAATCACTCCTTAAGGCCGAGCTGGAACTGCTGTGGCGGGCGCAGCCCGAAGGCCTCAAGCCAGGGTCAGTGGGGGGGGGTCTGGGCCAAAGCCAGGCTGTGGAGGGGACACGTCGTCCGTGAGCTGGAGCTGGGTGTTGTCCGCGGTGGGTGGGGAGGATGCGGGGGATGAGCAGAGGCCAGGAGGAAGCGTCAGGATGGTCTGTCTCCACTACAGCTCAGCCAGGCTGTGAGCAGCAGGTGAGCCCAGCCCAGGTGTGAGCAGCCGCACTGCAGCACCCTCGAGTGGCCAGGCCCTCGCCGGGGGCCCTGTGCCTCACTCGGGCTTCGGGGGCTTAGCCCGTGGGTCTTGGTGCCGGGGGACTGTGGCAGAACTTGTTTTCCCGCCCGGGCCGGCCTGGCTGGGTGGAAGGGAGGGGTTATGTGTCCAGGAGATCAGTACCGTACCTTTGGCAAATGCCTGTCTGGTGGTTCAGCTTGTCAGCTGCTGGGGAAGACTGTGGGCCTGCTGTGCCCTCTTCCTGGGCAAGGCTGGCACGGTGATTTGGGGGCATGGAAGGACGGGGCGCAGCGTTGGTGCTTGGGATTCAGGAAGCAGTGACTCCGGACGAGGCCAAAGCTGGCTTTCTCGCAGGCGCTGCCCGGGCGGGCGGGCGGGCGG